ATGAGTTGTGGTTATCGAGGTGTAGCACGTATGTATGTCGCTGGTGCGATTGCGGGACGGATTGCAGCCGTCAGGAAACAGAATCGGGGGCCGTTTTTTTTTTTTTTTTTGTACGCACGAATATGGTCGTCGTGTATGAAAAAATCGGTGGCACGGCAGGAAAAAGTCGATTCAATATAGAGCGAGCTAGTACGCTCGTGCGTATGATGCTGGCTCACGGTGATTGATCGTAGACCAGGGTACGGATCATATGAGAGATGAGACGTGGTGGTCAGGAGTCGCTGGTGCGGCTGGGATACAGTATGCGGTCGTTAAGATACGTATGCATACTGAAGGTTACTCGAATCGGTTGCACGTACGACTATGGGTCGTTGGCACGGAATGATCGGTCGAGACGGAAATGATCGATTTGGAGGGTGCTAGTACGCTGGTGCGTACGATGTCGGCACACGGTTATCGATTATAGACCAAGGTCCGGGTCATCTAGAGATGAGCCGTGGTGGTCAGGAGTCGCTGGGGCGGCGGGAATACTGTATGCGGTCGTGGTGATACATACGCATACTGAATGTTACTCAACCGATTTGCACGTATGACTGTGTTCGTTGACACGGAAGAATCGATCGAGAGAACAAGAGACACAACGCGATATATACAGCTGGTAATGGTACCACACTGCATATACCACTGGTCACGCTAGAGCCTTCTGATGCGGTCATCTGGTGATGACACGTGGTGGTCAGGAGTAGCGTGTAGGTCGCTGGTGCGGCTGGGATACGGTTGGCATACGCATCATTCTCTTAAGTCCCCGACGTATATTGTCCCCCTTGTTCATCATGATCAGGAAATCGATCGGTGCCTCGGCGGCAAGCCGGCCGGGGGCGGAGATATGAGCGGGGACGAGCACTTCTCCGACGAGTCCGTGATCGGCCGCGGCTTAGGCTTCACTCCCGCGATTACGTCCCCGTTTGGAGCGGGAGGCCTTAACGTCGACTCCGGGGGATACGGGATGGGCACGGGGATGTCGCACGCCCAGCGGCGGATGGAAAAGGTGATCTCGGACCAGCGGGTGAACGCTTGGAGCGCGGTGAACAGCCGCATGTGGTGGGTGGTGATGGGATGTTTTCCGCCGAAGTTAGAGAAGCCGAGCTTGCAAGGGTTAATGCATGATAGTTTTGAAGTCACGGACGCGGTGGCCGACATGCTGTTGAACTTTCGTGGCTTTGACCCTGTTGCCTTCGCGCCCCGGGGGGCGGGTGGGGAACGGATCCCCATCGCAACGCATTTGAGCCTTATGGCGGGGGCCTTTATCACCATCGCCCGCCGGGGGATCGTCGACGACCCGAGGTTGGCGGCGGCAGTGAAAGCGCGGGTGGATCGTGTCGAAGCCTCGTTCCAGGCGGTCATCGACGACGTGGAGCGGCACACTCGGGAGAATTACGCGGCCATTCAAATGCCGCACAACCGCGACATCTTCTTGACGTTCATCGTCAAGGATATGGACAGGTACACGCGCGACGTACAGATGTTCGCGGACGAGATGCAGCGGCGCTTCGTTCTCCCTCCGCCATCGGCCGCCCTCCCGCCCGCCCCCCCTCCCGGCTTTCCACAACCTGGCGGCATATCTCCGGTCGGGAGGGCTGATTAATTCTGCTGTGCAAGGCAGGGCCGGCCGTTCATCGGCCGCCGCCGCGGGTGCCGGGGGGAAGGGCGGCACGGCCAGGGAACCGGGGCCGTGCTACCAGTTCCAGAAAGACGGTACATGTCGGTGGGGGAAAGCCTGCAAGTTCGTGCATGTGGCGCCACGGAAGGCCAGCGGAAAGGGAGGAAAACGGGGGGGCGTTCCTGGCGGCGGGGCCGCGGATGGTGGCTCCAGAGGTAGCTCTTCCGCCGGCGCGGACACCAACGCTCCTGCCGCCACCGCCCCAGCGAAGCGGGCCAAGGTGGGAGCAGCCGGGGCCAAGACTCGCAGCAGTGCGAAGGGCGGTGCCGCCGACGGCGCCAAGGACGATGATGAGGAATAGGGGCGCGGGCCCTGCCCCCTGGGGGGGGGAGGGCCGTCTTTCGATGTCGCGGGGGGCGTGGTCTCGGGCTCGAGCACGCACCTCCTACGACCAGGGGCGGCTACTGCGTTGACCCGAGGTCTTGAGCCCGGTCGTCGCCGATCTTTGTACCGGCGTCTTAGCGGAGAGTACGTCCGCGAGTCAGTTGCGCAGTCGTCTCGAAGAACTTACCTGTCAGGTTGGCGGGCTTGGTGTGCTTTTCGCCGCATGATTGGCGAGTCGGAGTACCTCTCGAGGGACGCGGATGAGGCTGAGCTGGAACAAGCACTTTTGGAGTTTGTGGCGTGGTGTTGTGCCGATAAGGGTAATGTTGCGCCAACCATATCCGGCAAGCTCGCCGCGGTGCAGTACTTTCATCGAATCGACAAGCAGCTTGAGTTGCCCGCCGGTGCGCCTCTTATCAAGCGGAGTTTGTTGGGAGTCGCACGTGTTCACGTTCGCGCGGGTACAAAGAGTCGGAGTCGGGTTCCCGTTTCATGGGAGACGTTGTTGGAAGGACAGCAGTTGACGGCGTCGTGGGGTTCTGGTGGCCGCGTGCTGTGGCTGTGTTTGGCGT